GGCTCCGCTCCGCTCTCCCGGGAGCTCGGCGCTGCCGCAGCTGACGCCTCCCGCTGGGACCGGGCCGAGCTGAGCCTGGCTAAGCCGAGGGTAGCCGGGCCGGGCCATGGCCCCGCCGTGCGCCGGGGCGCTGCGCTGCGCGCTGCTCTGCGCGCTGCTCTGCGCGCAGGGGCCCGATCCCACCCGCGCAGGTACGGCCGGGGACGCGAGGGGGGGGGGTTGGGCGAGGGGAGTTTGCAGCTGTGGGGCAAACGAACTTCTTGGGGGGTTTCTCTTTTTTTCGGGGTTCCCCTCGCCCTCGTCCCCCGCGAGACCCCCGTGATGGATGGGGAGAGCCCTGTTCCCTCGGCTGGCCCCGGCTTGGGGGGAGGGGGGCCCCTGGTCCTGCTCCCACCCATGGGGCTGGGACCCCCAGGGCCAGGAGGGGTGCCCTGGGCTGCTGTGGCACAAGCGGGGTGCAGGGTCCGGCCTCCTCTCCGAAGAGCGGGGGGATCTCGTGGTTCGTGGCGGTTTCCGTGGGGGAGCGGAGCCGTTGTCCTCCTGCCCGGGGTGCCTGCAACTCCAGGCATGAATTATGCAAACCCCGGGCTTGCTTCTGCTCCCCACCTCCCATCCCCCCGCTGCTCACGGGAGACATTTCCACCCTGACTTCTCCCACCGGGACCCACGCATGTTCCCAGGGCTCCCATCGGGATGGGGCTGCCCTCAGCCAGCCCCGCTGCCCCCCTTTGTTTCTCTCTCCCTCTCCACACCTGATGACAAGAGCAGGAGTTGACAACGTTGGGCTCAAACGACTGTTCCTGTGCCTGCCGCGATAAAAATAACTTAAATTATAAACCTGCCTGAAACCCTTGTGAACAAAGTCCTACTTTCCCATTGGTTCCCAGCAGGTCTCTAAATGCTGGAGGGGGGGGCCGGTGGCGTGCCCGCCACGCCGTAGCCATGGCAATCGGTCCGCAGCATCCCACTTTGTGCCTTACGCCACCAGTTGCCCCCTTTGCTTTTGCTGGGAGAAGGAAAGGGCCTCTTCTATCACCAGGCATGGCCCGGGTGGCCAGGAGGACCCTAAGAGCTGGGGGCACTGGAGCTGCCCACCCCAAAGGGAGGTGGGGTGGTGGGAAGCCCTCTGCAAAGCGCTGCCAGCGGGGATGGGTGCAGCTGGCGCGGGAAAGGCAAGCACAAGGCTGGGTTGGTCCCTTTGTGGCAGAGAACCCTGGGAGCTGGCCCAGGGGGGTGCCAGCCCCCAGCCCCCTCCTGCGAGCCCTGGCTTGTTTGTCCCCTGAGAGCCTGGAAACATGTCCAGGGTGGGGAATGGCTCCTGGCTTCTTCCTGGGATGTTGCAAACATGGTTGTGGGCGTGGGACGCAGCGAGGTGCAGGCAGGGCCCGGCCACGGCTTCCCGTTGCAGCCTCCCTCGCTGGCAGTCATCGCTGTAAATTAATGATGAGAGTGTGTGGGGGGGGGAAGAGCTCATGGCAGAGCAGCTCCGCGAACAGCCAAGTGACTCACTGCCATGCTGGGGCGACGGGGAGCGGGGGGTCCTGTGGGACGGTCGGGGGGGCAGAGGGGTGATGCTGTTTAAATAACCCCGACCCGGCTGCTGGGAGCAGCCAGGCTGGTGCTGCTGCCTCGACTCTTTTAAACCTCTGCCAAAAGATCTGGGGCTGGGGTGGGCTTGCCCTGCACTGCGGCCTGCCGTGGCTGCAGGTGATGGGGTGAGCCCTGGTGTCCCAGGTGGCCACGGGTGCTGGGAGCTGTGGGATGCAGGATGTCCCCTCTCCGGAGAGCTGGTGACGCTACAAACACACCTGCAGCCAGCCGGGATGGGTCTGTTCATGGGTTTGGTGCTGCGAGAGGTGTCTTCATCCCTCCCACTGCATCATGAGAAATCCTCCGTGGAGCAGAGGGTCCAGCCCTGACCCCAGCTGACGGAGGGACGGATGTTGGCCCTGTCCTCACCCCTTTCCCCCGGCTTTGGCAGGAGAGTGCGGCGAGCTGAGGTCCTGCGAGGCATGCATGGCTGGCACCGCCTCGCACAATGCCACCAGCTGCATCTGGGTGGGCTGCGGGAGCCCCGAGGAGCCAGGTGAGGGGGCTCAGCCGTGTGGGGGGACAGCAAGGGGCTCCCACCTCCAGAGCTTACTCCAGGCCAGCCTTCCCCAGCCCCTACCGCTGGGCTGGGGCTGTGTCGGGATGGTGCCGGCAGCTCAGCACCCTTGGGGGCCTGGTCCCAGCTGTTTTCCATGGTCAAAGTCTGTCTCACCCGACCCATCGCGGGGGGAGGCAGGGGATCCATGCCAGCTGAGCGGGCAGGGGTGTGGGATTTTGGCATGTGCTACCCCCAGCCACGCTGGGCTTGGGGTAATGCTGGGAACCCTCCACCTCCCCCTCCATGGAGGTGCAGATGGAGCAGCACCAGGCAATGGAGGTGGGAGAAAGCTGGCTGCTTATAAAGCCCTTGTTTGGAGCTCTTCCCTGCAGGGGTACGGATGCGAGCCCCAGCTTGCAGCCCCTCGGATGGATGCCCATCCCTGGAAATGAGTCCTCGCCATCCCAAACCCTCGGCTGCCCAGGGCAGCCCTGGGCCCAAATGCCATCAGCTGCCCTGGGTGCCCCTACAGGCTGGTTTGCTGGGGGGTCCCTTGGGAAAACCCTGCTCCCTCTTCCCACAGAGATGGGGAGCTGCGTGCAGAGAGGGGCGGCAGCGCGGGAGACCTGTGTGCTCTACAACACCAGCACCCTGTGTGGAGGTAACCCTGCTCCCGCCACGAGAGCGGGTCCCCCCAGACCCAGCAGCCTTCGGGATGGAGGTGCTGCTGCAGGTGCCAGGGCCGTGGGGATGAAATCCCACCCCCGGAACAGCAACATGGGGCAGGGGGTTCACAGTGATGTCCCTTGACAATCCTTTTTTTCCCCATTCCCTCTGTCAATGCCTCCAGCAGCGCTGAAGTCCCCCACCGAAGAGCCTCCATGGTCCCATAGCAAGGAGCCGGTGACGCACTCCCCACGTGAGCAGTTCTGGGGGGGCAGGAGGTGGTGGGATGAGGTGGGGGATCTGGGTGCCCCAGGGGACAGTGGCCAGTGGGATGGGACAAGCCACTTCCCTCATGTTTCGCATCCCCTTGGATGAGCAGAGCCACCCTCGGGGTTGCATCCATGGATCTTCATCCTTGGCTGTGCCCCAGGAGGTGCCAGTGCCATCCCCGGGGTCACAGCTCGGTCCCTGTCCCCCCTCTCTGCCCCGAGCAATGCTGCTGTGGGCTGCAGTGATGCCAGGGTGGGGCTGGGGGGGTCATAACACCCTGCAGTCCCCCCAGGAACCAGCCCTGCTGCCATCCTTGCCAGGAAGTGCCGTTCCGGCCGGTTGGAGCAGGGGCTGGGAGCGGAGAAGGAGCCTCTTCCAGGAAGCGGGAACTGGAGAGCATTGGGCTAATTACGTCGGGTAACCAGAGCCCAGAGCCCTCTGAATTATTGATCCCACTGGGATCCTTTCACCGCTGGCTCCTCTGCCACACAGTGCCGGCTGCCCTGACATGGGAAGGGGCCGAGCCCATCCCTGCATCCACATGTTGTTGGGATTGTCCCAGCCCCATGCAGATGCTGGGGTCTGTGCGGACCCCAAATCCCCTCTCCTTGTCAGTGGCATCAGTATCCCAGGGATGCCAACAGCACCTGTAACTCCCCCACCCTGTTCTCCCCTGCCATTAGGGACCACCACAACCAGCGCCCCCCTGACAGGTAGCCCTGAATTTCACCCGCCCAGCTTTGACACGGCCAGCTTCATCGGTGGCATCGTGCTGGTGCTGAGCGTCCAAGCCGTGGTCTTCTTCATCATCAAGTTCATCAAGTCGAAGGACAGCACCTACCAAACGCTGTAAGGCTACTGCGCCCCCGGCCGGGATGGAGGTGGGGGGACCCGCGCCAGCTCATGCCTGGGCCAAGCCCACCCTTGAAGCCAAAAATGGGGGTCAGCCCCAGTGCATGGGGCTCCGTGGCCCGTCTGGCCGTGTCCTGTCTCGCAGTTGAGTGTTGTCTCCCATGGCTGTTTGTGCCGGTCCATCCTCACCCGGTGAGGGGAGGAGTGCGGAGATGGAGGGGCTCATCCTCCCCTGCCTGTACCCTCACCGGTGTCCGCCTGTCCTGCCGCCTCCTCTGTCTGTTGCTGCCTGGCCAGATCCTGGTTCTGAGCCCTGTGGAGAGCACAGGACCCCCAAATCCATCCCCCTGAGTTGAGCCAAGCAGGGGCCTGTTGCTCTTCCCCCTCGCCTGGTGCCATGGGGCTTGCCGTGTCTAACGTGTGGGGCTGTGCCCCATCTCTCTTTCCTTCCACGCTGCCAGAGAGGACAACCAGTAGGTGCTGGGTGCTGGCGGCGATGGGGAGGGGGCTACCCCTCTGCACCCCCAGAGCTTGACCCTTCCCTCACCCCTCCCTGGGGGGGGGGATGGCGTGGTCCCTCTCTCCTGGTTTGCATGAAGGGGGTTTCCCGGCTGGTTTGCTGTTTTCCTGGGTGTCGTTAGCAGTGGAAGGGAAGGGGGTGTCCCCCCTCACCCCCCTTTCATGCACAGAGCCCCTGGTGGGATGCAGCCGATGCACGGCCCCTTGGCACATCTGTGCCCCTTCTGCCACCTGGGCGAGGTGTCCCCAGGCCCCCCAGCCCTGCAGCAGCAGGGTGCATAGAGAGCACCCAGCAGCCCCCCTCCCCACCCTGGGCACCCCCTGATCCCCCCCCCACTCCACCCCCTGCCCCATTGCCTCCCCACAGCCTTGGGGCTCAAAGGAAGGCTTGGGGGGGGTCCCCTCTTTCCCCAGTGGGCTCTCAGGTGCCTTTCCCTTCAGCATTTTGGCTGGAGCACCCAGCCCCCTGCTCCGACCCTCCCAGTCGCTGCCCACCCTGGCCCCCCCAGCCTCTCTGTACCCACTGGGGGAGCAGAGCCAGGGCCTTGCTGTGTGCTTTGCTGTGCCTGTGTTGCTGTAGGGGTGTGGGGGGGTCCCCAGCCCCCCCCCTTCTGTGTGTTGTTTTGGGGAGGGGGGTGCGTGCTGTGTGCTGTGGGGTGAGACTTGTAGCTCGGGCTGCCCCAATTAAACTCTGTGAGGTGGTGTCTGTCTCGTGTCCGGGGGGTTCGTGTAGCTGGGGTGGGGGTGCGGGGGGGCATGGCTGCAGAAAGCCTGTGCCCCCCATCCTTCCCCTGCGGTAGCTCCCATCCATGCACCCCAATTCCCAGGCCTTCCCCATGGCATTGCCACCCGCGTGGGTGCAGCGGGGTGGGCACTGGGGCATCCCACTCCCTGGGGGCTGCGGGGGGCTGGACCTCCCCCAGGGCAAAGCTGCCCAGGCCCTTTCTGCTACGCGCTCTTCTCTGTCTGCTGCACCAGGATCTGAGGCCACCGCACACCCCAGGCTGGGGAGATGCTGCCCTCGTCCTCCCCAGGGCAGGCAGAGAAGAGGCCAGCGCTGCCGGCATCCCTGCCCGCTGCCAGCATCCCTGCCCGCTGCTGGACTGGCTGCAGGGCCCCTGCCCACACCACAACTATGCAAAGCTGGCTCTGCCCCAGGCTGCCCGCTCTGCCCCAGGGGGGACCAGGCTGGGACATGTCACCCAGGCCTGGCCCCTGTCCCCAGCGCGGCTGGGGATGCTCCGGGGGGTTTGTACCCAGTGTGGCCATGGTCGCATCCTCCGGCCGCTCCCCGGGGGGGCAGAGCAGGGAGGAGGGGTGCAGCCAGGCAGGGGGGTCCCATCCAGCCCTGAATCCCAGCCTTGGGCTCCCCTGCCACCCACCCTGTGCTTGCCAGGAACCTGGGGGACCCAGGGCACCCCAGGGGATCAGAGGACACATGGCCGCGGCTGGCAGCAGGGTGGCCCTTTGCTGGCCAAGCCCCCAGCCCCATGCCGGGCAGAGCCTGAGCTGGCGCAGGGGGGACAGAGACCCAATAAAGGATTTTCCTCCTATTTCTGGTGTCCGTGTCATCGTCACCCATCACCCCCAGAGCCCGAGCGGCGGGTGCTGCCCTGGGAGATTTTGGTTGCAAACCCCATACCTGCAGTTGGGGATGTGACTGCGTCTTGCCCACAGGTTGGTGTTGGTGGGGGGTCCCAAGTGACTCCAGTCCTCCCAGTCACCAGGGGAGGGGAACCAGTATGGGGAGGAGTGATGCCATGCTGGAGGTTGGAACAACAGGACATCATCCCCTCCTGTCCTGGGGATCTCACCCCGTGGTGTCCCTGTCTGTGGGGCACATCCCCTTGCCTGGCCCCGGGGGCTGCAGCGGGCAGGGGTGGCCGCGGGCTGAGGCTGGAAGAACTGGGGGAATTGCTGGGCTGGGGTCCCCAGCTCTGGACCAGCGTGGGCCAGGGCTCGAGGGGGACACACACCTCTGTGGCCACAGCCAGCCCCACTAATGCTGGGCACCCCAGGGATAGTGATGGGGAGGAGGGACGCGTTCCTTCCTGCAGCGGCAGCGGGGAAGCCGGGCACGGTGTGTTCCGCAGCCACCAACCCCCGGCTCTGCCTTCCCTGAAATGGTGCTGGGGCTGAGCAGCAGGCCTGAGCAGGCAGAGCTCCATGCCCCACTGTCCCCAGGCGCTCGCTGTCCCCACTCCTCCCTCCTGCCCGGGGCTGGCCTGGCCCTGCCGTGGGAACAAGGCTGGGATGGCTTGTCTGCCTGCATGGTGGCTTGTCTGCCTGCATAGTGGCTTGTGTGCCTGCGTGGTGGCTTGTCTGCCTGCGCGGTGGCTTGTCTGCCTGCACAGCAGCCCAGGCCAGGGTGCAGTGCCAGCCTGTCCCCTGTCTGCCCGCAGCTCTGCCCGCAGCTCTGCCCGCAGCTCCCCCTCCCCAGCCCGGCCCGCCAGCCGTTTCCATCCCCTCTCCAGCCCCCGGGGACCTTCCCGGGCCCCTCGCCCCGGCCGGGGGATGTGATGGAGGTCCGGGGGGCGCTGCCCGGCCCCTCGACCCCCCGAGAACCCCGGCTTCGCTTCACCACTGCCCCCTCCACCCCGGCGACTTTGGGGCCGTTGTTTCGGCTGTGACACGTGCAGGGAGGAGGAACCGGCCCCGGCCCCCCCGGATCCCCCCGGCCCCCTC